TTTCTTTTGACAGCATGATGTTTGTCAGGTGAACTAGTACCCCCATCGTCAACAGTGGTGATATTCACGCCATTTGCCTGATTTCCCTGCTGTGTACCAGTAACACTTGACCTTGGTGCCGATCCCATTAAGATGGACGTACTTACACCCCCTTGAGGACGAGAACCTTCACCTTTAGTCTTCTTTTTCCGCTTTGGCTGGTGTGGGTTTGCTGAACGACTTAAGCGTGGTACCGGAGGCTTACGTTCTGGAAGACTTGGTGCACTCTCGGAACGTCGACCAGATTTTACGCGTCGTTCGTTCATTTCTGATGAACGTATCGCTCTCGCGCGAACAGCTCTCTGGTTTTGCAGACGAATTGCGTCGGACATTTTTTGAAGCTGTAGCTTCCGCTGTTGTAGCTGTTCTTTACGTTGCTGCTCTGCACTCTGATGTTCACGTAGATCCGATGCTGCTGCGAGAACGCGCTCACGTTCTACCATTTTCCTTTTCTTCTGCCCAGTAACAGTATTGTGGCTGTGTAACAAGTGCAACTGGACCATGTCGATGGATGGATCTTCATAAATATGATCAATTGACGAGTCCACTCGCTTCCACGATGACTCTACCTGACGTCTCTCGGATAATGAATTATCAGGCTTGGGTGATGGCAATGCGCGCTTATGTGTAGTACGTTTTTCTTCGCTCCTAACTCGCTCTGGTTTGACAGTAGTTAGAGATGAACTAGTCGTCGTAGTCGTATGTGGGTGTGAAGCTACGTGATACCGTGTTTGTACAGTCCTCTCTGATTCGGTTGCCTCTAGCCGCCGTGTAAACAACGCCAGCTCTCTTGCGGTGAAAGAACTTTGTAGCTTAGTGAGTGAGGGCATACTTGACACGAACATACCCTCACCAGCGCTTGGTAACGCTAACGTCGTTCGACTAGATGATTCCAGTGGGCGAGAGTTGTTGGAATTGGGCTTCGATGCATGCTCTTCCGGTACAAGCACCGATACCACCTTCTTTCGTTCTTCAGGAGGCAATAAATCCGTTGCGGATGAATCATCATGATCCCGAGTAGATAGCTCCACCTCGCTGGATTGTTTAATTTTCGTGACGCTTGTCGCCACTTGCTCACGTACTTGCGAAGTCTTTCCCAGTAGCTCAACCTGACCGATGGAAGCACCTTCATCAGATTTGGATAATTCCATCCGATAAATTTTCATCTTTGCTGAACGAGCTGAGAACTCTTTTCCCGATGAATGGCGACTGGGTTTGTTGCGGATCTGAGGAGAGCGAGCACTCAGGTGAGATCCCGTGACCTTTTTCACTTGGAAACCAGAACTGGACGAGTCCTCTGATACTCGAACCGTAGTCTATGATAGACAAAAAGCAATATTACCATCAAAAACAGAAAAAAGTGTATCCCGAAGAGCTATTGTGCACCTTCGAAAACTCTTCTTTACGTCGAAATGGACTTCGCGGATGTGACTTTTATTTAAACAACCACGCACTGTTAATCGCACGGTTTGATATATAATAGCCCACCAAGACGCCGGAAAACTGAAAACTCACTTCCATGATCACACGAGGTGACAAAGTGACGGATGCTGCGACAGCTTCTTGTGACGCAGTTAGAGCTCGTCTGGAGGTTGCAGAAGAGAATATTGCAGGCACAGGTCTCCCGGATCCTCCAACGCGGACTTTCCCCATCTCTAGAGGCACCTGTCGTCCCGGAAACGTGCCAGAGCGGCGCACAGCGCTAGTATCTTGACGCCAATCACCTTCCATGGTGAATGATACTTCGTGGGAAAGGTCACTTTCACATAAGTGACCTTTCACCCAAGTATCGAGGGTTTGGTAGTACTACTACTACTACAAAGTAGTAGTATTGCCATCTGTTTGACCATGTCAAAATACTATAGTACTTAGCAAATCTTTTCAATGTACTAAGCTTCTAAGATGATATTATTACTACTATTAGTATTGTAAGAAGTATTGTAAGTAGTACTAGTTGTATAGTAGTATCAGATATAGGCTTAGAAATACGAACAATCCTCGTCAGGGTAGCATCTAAGTAAAAAAAATGGCTGTATAGGAGACAGCTCCATACCATTAAAACCTCGGTCGGAAACTACTGCAGTTAAGTAGTGTGAGAGGAGCCATGATGATCCAATGCTCGCGCATTGGATCATCATGGCACACCTCACGAACCGCACATTAAACACAGCACACACTACTATTGTAATACAACGACAAAACGATGCCCGCCAATGAAGCTAAAAAAAGAGTATGAATTGCGGCGATGTGAGAGGGTGTGACACCTTCAAAGCAAATCGATTTGAGTAAAAAAATTAACAATCCGGTTTAAAACGAAGC